CTTAATTTTAAAAAAATTAATCTGAAAAATCTTATTATTTATAGTGAAAAGTTAATGAAAATGAAATATCTTATAAAAATATAAGTAAAATTAATTTTGTACCTTTTGTAGTATCAGGGTTAATTAATATAATTTAATAATTTAATGATCTCGAAAATAGATGATCTAAATATATAAAATTGTTTTTGTAGAATAAAAAATATTAATATATATTTAGAAATTAGATGTTTTACGTATTTATTTATATCTAGTTTTTTTTTCTAATTAAATTTAATTTATATATAATAACTATATAAAATAATAATTTTAATTATATTATATAAAATTATGTATATTAATTATATATTATATAAAATTATGTATATTAATTATATATTATATAAAATTATTATAATTAATTATATATATTATATAAAATTATTATTAAAATCATAATTTTATTATTAAAATAAAAATTTTTATTAAAATAATAATTATATTATATTATATTATATAAAATAACTATATAAAATAATAATTTTAATTTTATTATGTAAAAAATTTACGGGATAAACTGTAAATTTAGTTATTCTATACAAAAGATTATGTTTCAAAATTATGGTTTTAGGATTAATCAGTAATATAGATAATTTTACAATTTATTTTTTATGAATATTAAAAATTTAAAAATTTTATCAACTAAATTTTATGAATAATTATTAGAAAAAAATAATTTCTAATTAAAAAGGATTAAATATAATGATTTATTTAATTATTTTGTAAATTGTATAATTTTACAATATACATATATATATATATTTAAGGGACTAGGCAAAATAATCTCTTACCGGTTTGCAATTTCTCCTCGGAGCTCGCGTGGGACTCCACGAGGCGTTGCTCGTGCCTCATCATGAGCAACCTGAAGCTGAGGTAGTCTATAAGGGCGTCCAAGCCTTGGTTCTCCTCGTCTAGGAACTCCCTTACCCATCTGAATTAAATTGTTGTTAAATTCAGAGATCAAGTTGAATTCAACTGAGAGATCAAACACGTTGCTGACCGGTCACGAGTCATTAGCTAGTTTAATTTTTGAGGTAAAAGGGGTAATACAGGATATTGTGTTCAACCCTGTTCACTTTATTATAAAGCAAGAAGCAATTTTTGATTTTGAAATATATTGCAGCTACGTGGAAATTGAATAGTTACATCCAAAATGGCAAATTTTCAAAATCCGTTGTGTACCATTATTGATTACTATACAGTTTATCACGCCAAAAAAAGAAAATTAAACTAAAATATATCATACGTATAAAATATAACATAATATGAGAGATATGCAGAGTTTCATTTGAATTCATTCTGTATGAATAAAGTATACTGAAGTTTATTCAGACTGTTTTCACTTTCATACTCGATTATGGCACGAGATAACTTCGGCGTAAAATTGCCGGCCAACAATGTGTTAAGAGTGATAGAAAAATATTTTTTTCTAGCGGGAGAAAGTTCTGCAGAATGAAAAATGACTGTAACATACACAGACGAGAGGCAGAGATTGTTCTCGGTTCAACTAGTTACTTCAACCATTGATTTTTGTTCAGTTGAAACTACAATTAGTTTGATTAGGATCTTCTGATATAAAATATGTGTATATTTCATGAGAGATCATATGTAAAGATCAATGGCTGATTGCTAAAGATCATTCAGTTCTAGAAATATATAGAAATATATATGTATATATATATATATATA